CGGGGCGGGGCGGGGCGGTTCGGGGCGCGACGGGCGGTCATGCAGAGCGACACAGGCCGTGGCCCAGCCAGGCTCACAGGGCCTCCTAGTCGCGGCTGTCCTGTCAGTTACGTTACGGAAGGTGGACACCATGTTCGTCGCCGTCACACCAGTGGGGCGGCAAGGCGACCGGGCTGTTCGACCCGTTTACTGTAACTATGTAAACATTTGCTTAAATATTTAAATCGTTGTAATCGTAACGACAACACAAACAATAATAATTAAAAAAAAAATTGAAATAAAATATGCTGGTTTTCTCCCTTGGTGATTTTAAAGTGTGTCTGTTCCGCATGTCTCACCGGGCCGTGTTGTGTCGCGTATGGTCCGCAGATGGCGCTCAGTGGATGCCGGCCGTCCACGTCACCACGAGTTCGACGGCTCTGGGGGTGGGCGGCAGCGGCGGCGGCGCTAGCGACGCGGGTACGCACGAGGTCTAGGCCTAGGTCACGCATGAGCAAACAGTAGGGCACTCAGCTCTAAAACGCAGAGATCTACAATAAAATCCTTAAGGTGTTCGAACAATACAATTTCGCCGGGGTGACGCGAGGTAGAGTTGGTCGACAAATGTTCAGTTGCCCAACGCTACCGCACTTGGGCGCCCTGGGCGGGCCACCGTCTTCACGCAGCTGCTTGGCGGGTTGGCCTACCCAGAGGCTTTATCATTAAGCGTTGCCCCGTGAGACGTTCATTGTGGGGACACCTTTATAGCCGTTTATGGGTATAGTCTGTCGTTGTTATCCACGTACTTTGTACGTCGGTGAATGATAGTTTGTCTTCTTCCACCACAGGAGGCACCCCCACCGTCAACATCGACTGTGCGGACGGCAAGTCCTGCTCCACCACCATCCCGGTGCGGCCGCCCGCCGCCACGCACAGCCCGACCTTCAAGCCGTACTCGCAGGAGGTGAGTGAGTGCAGAGTCACGACGGCGTCCCCGTCAGCCCGTCCTGAGCCCAGCGCGCAGCTGGCACCGCAGGGCACCGCAGGCGTTTGGCATTTTCTCCTATTGTATAATTTGAGGGACGCTTCTCTCGCACGACGCGGCCAGGCGGCAGAATGACTGATGACCATGACCCGCCCTAACCTCAGCTCCTTTCCTTTCCCAAATCAGAGGCGTCGCTATTCGTTCGCCTTTCACTTTCACCTCCTTTTTATTCGCTTCCCCTCTTTTGACAGGTCCTCGACAAATTCTTAAGCGACTACGCCACGGTTACGACTGCCGGAAACGGGACTGACCCCGTCGGCGGTAAGGAGCTTCTGCTCCAGCTGCAGCAGCAACGGCAGCAGCAGCAGCAGCAGCAGCAGCAGGTGGCAGCCGGAGAGACGCTGGGCCAGTCAGCCGATGGCGCCGAGATAGAGCCCACTAACAGGTACGATGGGTTGCCTGCTGCCCGGCGCACCGGCGGCGCGTGCCAACGCCAATACATCACGGCGTGTTGTTTCCAGACTCGCCAACCTGTACCTCGACGACGGCGGCGACGGGTCGAGTGTGGACAACAGCACTGACGACAAGAGCAAGTCAGTGCAGTGGTCCTTGCTCAAGTCCCAGCACCACAAGCACCCCTACGACGACCACAAGGGATGGGTGACCCTCGAACCGGTAGGTCCAACCGTGCCGTTGATGCAGGTTGCATCTGCAGCCCAACCCGTTCGGCTTGGCCGTGGTCACTGACAGTGTGTTCCTCCAGGTGCCGTGGTCCTCCAGCCACGTGTCCAAGTGGCAGAGCAACGTCCAGCCGGGTCGGCCGTGGGACAACAGCCCATCGCCCGGCACTTGGCACAACGACATCGACCAGCGGCCCGCCGGGCCATTCCCGCCACCTCACCATGGTCCCGGCCCCGGCCATGGCCACGGCCCCAACCACGGCCCCAACAGCGGCTACCACCACGGCCAGAACACGCAGAACTTTAACGGCAATGGTGACTGGCCCAGCGGTGGTGGCGGCGGCGGCGGCGGCGGCGGCGGTGGTCCCCCGCGACCCTCGTGGTCCAACGGCCCGGGCTGGGACCAGGACCGCCCTGGGCCTGGGGATAGCTACCGACCCGACCGGCCGGCTCCTGCCAACAGACCGTCGCCGTCGTCCTGGGAGTCCAACAGGCCCAACAAGTGGGACCGGCCGAGCCCGGCGGCCTCTGAGCAGTGGGTCAGCTCGGCCGACCCGGACATCATCACGGACAACAGCCCGCCGGACTTCCCCGCGCACCCCGGCGCGCAACAGGGGCTGTCGCGGCCTGGCGGCTCCTACTCGTACGGGCCGGGCGGCGGCGGCGGAGGCCCGGCAGGCCCCAGCGGACCCGCGGGGCGCCCCTGGGGAGGGAACCAGCCGCACAGGGAGGTAAGCGAGTGGCCTCTGGCTATTTCTATTTTAAAAATTAACATGTCTATGGCTTTAATGTATGTATGTTCTTTCCACAAAGAGATGGCCAATGTCAAATTTTAATATCAGAAAAATTCACTCCTGATGAACACAGTGCTCGGTTACGGAAGCACCTCCACTCACTGTCCTTTTCCCGCAGCCCGGGCGCCATCCCCCAACGCACCCCGAGGAGGGCGACGGCACCTGGGTGCTCTTGTCCTCCACCAAGGGCTACTCGACGCCCCCGCGCGGGCGCCTGCCGCACCAGCGCGCGCTCACCGTGTCCACGCACCGCTCCGTGCGCCTCACCGTGCTGCCGCCCGAGAACGGCACCAACATGACCACGTCCCACGGCGGGCTGCTCGAGGTGGGTCCCGCTAGGTCAGGCGAGCCACCGCCTTGAGGCGAGGCGCTCGACTTGAGCGAGCCCAACACTGATATTCCACCTTGGCCAGGTCGAGGACACGCAGCACACGGTTGACGAGTCGCAGCGGCTGCACGCCGCCTCGCTGCTCAAGCAGGCCCTGGACCACCACCACAACGCGACGCTCAGCTCGTACGAGTCCCTGGTGCGCGAGGCGGCCCGCGTCCACGAGGCGCAGCTCCTCAAGCAGGCGCTGGCCGACCGGCGTCTGGCCAACGCCACCGCCCTCTCCGCCGACATCCTGCAGCAGGCACAGGCGCAAGCCGCGCAAGCTGCGCAAGCCGACAGGCGGGCTGACAACCACACGGTGGCGGCGGTGCCAGCTGCTCCCGCTGCGGCCGTCCCGACGAAGACCAAGTCCAGCAAGTCCAGGACCAAGATCAGGATCGATCCGCAGCCCCAGCCGCAGCATTCCGCCGACTCGCCGAACTTCACGGGACGCGGAGAAGGCTCCGGCATGGCGCTGAAGGTGAGTTCTATATGCTCCGAACACACACAGAGCCCGGCCCGAAGGCGGCCGCAGGCGGCCAAAGGCCGCGCAAGGCACCGACTGACTTGGACGCGTTGCAGGTGGTGCGTCCTGCCACGCCCTCGCGCCGCTCGATGGCGCTCGCCGCCGTGGGCGCGGGCCTCCTACCCGCCACCATGGCCATGCTGGTCCCCATCATGCTCGGGCGGCGACGCCGCAGCGTGCCAGAGGACGACACCGAGACCAGGCCCAAGGCGGACACTGCCTACACGGCGTACGCGCCCGTCGACCAGCCGCTGGAGGCCGAGGACAGCCCTCCCAGAGTCATCGACTTCGCACCCTCGTCGTCCTGGCCGCGGCTCAGGCGGCGCCGCGCCCTGGGGCGAAGCCGGATCTAGTCTGCTATTCGACAAGTAGCCTTATGTCGCCTACCGAGCATGACGGACAAGACAAAGGACAACACTGCCACTACTGCTACCTCGAGTGTTCAGCCCTATAATTTGTGTAGGACGTCAAATGTTAGATTCGTATACAGGGTGGTCCACAAGACCCCTTCCTTTATTTTGCTTATACTGTACCGTATGCAGGCGTGCGGGCGGGTTTGCCTACCGTCGCTCACCGCGGCGCCTCATGGCCCCATGCGAGTATGCAACCCGGCCGGCCGCACGCCTGCATCCGGTACAGTATAAGCAAAATGGAGGAAGGGGTCTGTGAACCACCCTGTACGTTGAACATTTGGATGTGTTTTGTTGATATGTTGAGCACAGGATGTCCCGTCTGAGGAATACATATGTGTGCTTATCATTTGGACGGCAAAAATATGTACGCAACACGACTTTTTTGAACATGACGTACAGAATAGCGCTGAAGGCGTGACGTGACGCTTCAAACTTCACCCCGACGACGCCGAACAGCATATGAGGTGCCATGCCATGGTGCCATCCTACGTTAGGAGTCGTCTAGCTAGTGCGTCCGTTTTTCTAGGATTCGGCAAATACCAGGATTTCGGTGCCTGCTGGACTCAGGGTAGGCTACCCCACAGAACACGCGTGCGCTGCAGGCAAAATGTTGCCTGCCTATCAGGCGCTACGAGAGCTTGCACAGGCTGAACTTGGCAGTTTCGTAACGACGAGTGACGGACTTACTTTCTATAGAATCTCTAACGGTGCGCCAGGCCACTGCTACACCGACGATGGTGACCCATTTTATGAAAGTTGACTTGACAAACTAGACCAAACGTGACCATCGCATATTTCAGGTTTGCGCAGCCTACAGAGATCCTAATGCCTGACGAGACAGATTACGCCAATCAGTGACGGACAATATTGTTTTACATGCGAAAGCGAATTACATTTTAAAAATGTGTGTTCTTGCATTGCTAACTTTAGTATGTCATTGTGGTCTCCAATGCGTGCACATAGACTGAACTGTTTATGTCCATTTATTTTCTATTTGTATATAATGTGTGTTCGTGTCAGACCTTATTTATTTATGTACATATTTATTT